TACTTAGAATAAATTCAGAAAGACATATATAATCAATATGTAATTAAAGTTCAGGATTCTAAAACTTTCACTTTTTATCCTCATTTAACTTCAGTAAATTATATTGATGACAAAAGCTCATTGAAGGTGATCATACGGGTAATTAAAATTAGAGCTGATGTTTTGAACTTAAATTATAAACACTTCTAGCAAACAAAAAATAATTATAGCATGTGTAATACAAACGAAACAGAAGATTTCTATCACTTCCTGGCTGCTTGTCCGATACTCTCTGAATTTAGAATTAAATGGTTAAAATCTAGAAATTTATCTCGGGATCAAGTAATATATTTAATAAATGGAAACAATTTGATAACATTGGTAAATTACTGCAAGACTTTTTTTCCTATAGAATAATGCTCACCAGAGAATTTAACAAATAATAAATTGGAGAGTTTTGGTTCCATTCTTTTTGTAATGAAAATATTTATGTAACTTTTACATTGTAAATATAATTGTTCTTATTTTTTTTTATTAATTAGTTGTATATAAATAGGTTGAAACATAATTTTGTTATAAAACACAGACTCCTCTGATGGTCAACAGACCATGTAGCACGTCTGATTTTCGGTTTTAAATCCAAAAATATTATTTTGTAATTTATATTATGTAATTTTGATAAATAAAAAGACTTTTACTTCTTCTTCTTCCTTCATGCCCCATGTTTTGTCACAAAATAACCATTCATAAAGACCTTAATGTTCCATATGTCGTTGACTAGCTCTTTCATGATAAACTCCAGTCACACCCGAATCCATTTGTTTCCAGCCTTGCTTCTTCCTCGATTCCTGATAATACCCCTAGGCGTCCGAAAAGAAGACGGCCTCGTGTTCTTCTTAACTAGAATTAAATAGGGAGTGCTACCACTGGGTAGTATCTCTTCAAATCTATTCATGTCATTATTTGTGATGTGTGCATATTTACTGAATGTATTTTTATACAGTTATAAATTTTATTAAATAAATAAACTAAAAACAAAGCCTTTATATATTTTTTTGAAATTGTGCTTGTCTGAGATAAAAACAAAAGAGTTATAGTTTGAACGAATTGTTGAACTATCAACTAATAATATTTTCCATAGTTTAGAATAAAATTCCAATTTAATAAGAAACGAATCGTCAGAAATAATTCAAGAGCAGAATAAATGGAAATTTCAGAGCAAAATGATTACAAACGGTAAAAAAAGAGAAAGAAAAAATATACAAAGAAGGAACGGGAGCCGGCGTGTTTTTCTTCCCGAGATTTATCTAAATAATCAAAATACCCCTGGATTTATTTCAGAAAACAAACTTAAACTGAATTATTCACAACTTGACAAGAAAATCAAAACAAGATTGTGTTATTTTACTCGGAAGAGAGAGGTAGAACAGAGATCCACTGCTTTTACAAAGTTGCCGTCGGCCCCAGGTATAAATTCGCAATGAGATCGGATCTCCCTGCCTTCTTAATATTTTTACCACCGCCGCCGTTCCCGCCGAAGAGAGTGGAAGAAGATAAGAGAACGGTCGAAAAGTTTCACTTTAATTCAGTCAGGCCTTGATAAGTCCACTCCTCGCTTAAATACCCTCTTTTCGTAGCGCCTTCACCTTTTGTGAGGAAAAAACATGATGTCATGTCCTCTGTATAATTACTATCCTTTCTTCTGAGTTAGGAGGTTTTTTCTCCAGAGCTATAATTGAGATAAGGTAGAGCGAAAAGGACTCAGCCTCTTGGGACTTAAAGTTACCAAGTTAAATAGCACATCTTTAAAAAGGAAACTGAGTTTTCTTTATTTTTTTTTAAATTTCAACAAATCATCTTAATTATTTCTTTCTACTCTATTCTTCTTTCCTTCTACTCTTTTCTCTCTGGATTTAGTACAAGCGTTGAGTTTCATGGCCAATGATTGTAAGTAGTGTTGCCCAAATGCGTGAACGAGACAAGTCTTGGTCTGGCAAACTCAGTCTTAGTCTTGCGCAAGAGTCTCGAAACAGTCTTGCAGTTACTTATTAGCTTATTACTATAGATATATTGCTGTAATTTTTTAGGTAGGAGAAACCCAACTAAGCCCGAATGAAAAATGAGAGGATTTAAATGAAAAAGTATATTAGTTATACCAATTATTAACACATAGTAACTAAAATTGTAGAGTAACTATTTTACCCTAATTTTTATTTTAAAAAATTTATGTTTTTTTACCATTCCTGGTCTTGGTCTTGGTCTTGCAAAGTGCATAACCAAGACCGATTTTGGGCTACACTAATTGTAAGAGGAAGCAATTTATGAACAACCTTCAAGTTCAACCACTAATTTATCATATAACAAAATAAATGGTTAAGGACCATATCTTACTAACTCATAACTAAATATCAATTCACCTTTTCCATTATTCTGCTTCTCTTTAATTTTATTAATCTTTATTTTATGTAAATATAGTATAAGTGTACTCTTCCTTAACTGTAACTATTGCCCATATAGGCGTAGACTTTGGGGAGGGGGTGGAGGAAAGAGGGAAATTGTCCCCTTAATAACAGTAAAAAAGGGGCAACCAAATCTTTAAAAAAATAAAATAAAATCTATAAAAATGATCTAGGAAGAGATACTTTAGTATTAGTAGAACAAGCCTTTTTAGACTCAATAATTAAAACAGGTTTTATTTTATTTTCATCCAAATTTTCGCATCTTCAGGGATAAATCTGATTTTACATATATTTTGAATTTTATCTAAAAAAATGAACAAAAATCTTTTCAGAGAATTTATTGCCATGGAGCTACCGAATTATAATCTTTCAAAGTGAAAATTCAAATTACTTTATTGTTTTTCTACTTATCTTCTATACACTATGGACTGCAGTTCTAAACTTAATTATGAAATTTGATTTGCAATCTGACGTGTTCGGAGTTTTACGAAGATATTTCGTGAAATTTACGAGGTCGCCAGTAAAGATTAGCCGGATATAAAGTTTTATTGAATCCATAAAGAGTTGATGTAATAATTGAATCGGAAAGGGAAGTTGAGTGGTAAAGTTGAGTGGTAAAGTTGACCCATAAAGGAGAAGAAGTAATTAGAGGAAGAGGGAGAGGTGAGACAAACCGATAAATTGCAGGGGCTCCGACACTGTGTGTGACATTCTGACATTCCCAGTACCCGGGTCTTATTGCCTCGCAATCACTCTGACACTCAAATACCCGGGTCGGCTTAGGGTATCTGTCGCCCTTGTCATCCGTCCCTCTCCTGCCCTCGGGCTATGTTTTGAAGGGCGAATCATTCTAACGAGGTTCTATATCTCTCTTAGTAAAAAAATAAATAAAATATCTGTTGTGTCCACTCCACTTTAATTGCTTAATCCAATACACAAACTGCCGATTTCAAGCACCACCACAATCGTCCTTGGGTTGGTGTCGGTTGACATTTTATTTTTTTTATTATTATTTTTTTTTGCTTCTATGAGATAATCAGTCTACTTACGGAAAAAATTTAGTATTTATACGTACTCAAATATTGTGTTAAAAATAAAAATATTGTGTACTTTATAAAAAAAATTTGGTGCACTGCGCACATCACATAAATTTCACTTACCACCCTCTTCTTAGCAGAAATAAGCATTTTCAGACGAAGAGGAAGTAAAACTTTAAATTATTAACGCTATATTTATTTATACTTCATTGTGGGTACTTTTATTTGTATAAGTACCCCTCTATATATATATATGTATGAATTACTGTATCTCGGACACATTTTAAGATTTTTCGGAGCATTAAGAATTTTTAAATAATCATTATTTGTTTATTATTAATCAGGGTGTAGAGTTTCATACAGAGATGTTTGTTTGTTTGTTTCGATGTCTATGCGCAAAACATTCACGTCATCAGTGCCCGATCAACTAAATAACACTGCTTTTATAATGTTTGGATGGTTGGTACATAACAAAAAAAGGATAAGAAAATAAATAAAGGGATTGATGGAATAAAATAAATAAATAAAAATAGCAATAGATACTTATAGATAATAAGATAGAATAGATAAATAAATAAACTTAACAAAAAAGCAATAAAATCAATAAATGTATTGAAATTAATAGACAAATGAACTTTTAAAATAAAATTAATAAAATGAAATAAAGTAAATACATAAAAATAATAATAAATCTGCAAAGGATCATAATATATAAACTTGTCATATATGTAGTTTAAGTCTTTCATTATCTAGAAACTTGATAACTTTGGTAATGATTTCTTCTTGATTTCCCAGAGATGCTGATATATTCTGGGGTATTCCGAGATCTTTTAAACTTGCGGTGTAAAAAGGGCACTCTTCCAAAACATGTTTTATGGTTGAAGATTGGTCACACTTTTGACATCTGGGTATAGAATCTTTTGTTATGAGGTGGAGGTGAGTCAGTCTAGTATGTCCGATCCTCAGCCGCGTGAGGACGACCTCTTCTCTACGAATGCGGCATCTGGAGCTGGTTCACGGTTGCATCTCTTTCTTTATTGTCTTTAATTTGCAAGGTGCGCTGTTGTCCCACCGTCTTTACAATTCTTGGGATATGGTTTCTGTTAGAAGTCGTTGAAGTTCAGATGGTGTAAAGCTTTTTTTGACACCATCTGAACTTCAACGATGGTGTTCAAGTTCAGATGGTGTCAAAAAAAGCTTTACACCATCTGAACTTACACGACCTTAAGCACCTAGCAAATTAAAGAGATGTTTGAATTGTTTGTTTGAATGAAATTGCTTATTTTTTATTACATTTTTGTTTATTTCTAGAATTATTATTTTTTTTGTAGTTTAATTTAAATTATTTTTATTTATTGTACGTATAGCTTTATTGAAGTACTCTATCTCAATTACTAATGTCCTTTATTCTGACAAAATGTAATACTACTCAATAAAGAAATAAAGAAGAAAAATATTTCGTTGAGTAAAATAATATTTTGTCAGAATGTGTGTTTATATTATTATAAAAATTATAGGGTTTACAAATTTTGATTTTGATATCGCTGTAATCTATACAAATAAATAAAACCAACGATGAACACATTTATGAAAACTGCATATGTTCATGTACATAATATTGTCGGAGTCTATATTTTATATACATATATATTTATTATTAGGAGTTTCCACTAATAGTATGTTTCCTTAACCTAAGCCTGTATTATATTAAGCTCATATTACGTATGGAAGACTGTTCTAACCTTTCGGACGAGCTCGTGCGCTTTCGTATTCCTTCGGTTCCTTCATTACAACTATGATCCGTTACGATCTCTTATTTCTCCTTTAGTTATTTATCAAATGATTTCATATTTTATATTGGTCTATTTTCTTATATTAAAGATCAATGTTTAATTATTAAATAATCAAACGGTTAATTATTTTAAATTAAAAACAAAGTATTTTATG